TTTATTTATTTATTATGTATACAATATTCTGTCTGTGTGTATGTCTGCAGGCCAGAAGAGGGCACCAGACCTCATTACAGATGGTTGTGAGCCACCATGTGGTTGCCAGGAATTGAACTTTGGAAGAGCAGGCAATGCTCTTAACCACTGAGCAATCTCTCCAGCCCTTCTTTTTTCTTTTTCGAGACAGGGTTTCTTCATAGCTTTTGGTTCCTGTCCTGGAACTAGCTCTTGTAGACCAGGCTGGCCTCGAACTCACAGAGATTCACCTGCCTCTGCCTCCCGAGTGCTGGGATTAAAGGTGTGTGCCACCACCGCCCGGCTCTTCTCTCATTCTTAAAGCAGGGGACTTCCCCTCATTCTTGCAAAGCCAGTTTACTATTAAAGAGGAATCTTTGCTATGTTGTGTCAATAATTTCTGACCATGTTCAGGAGAACATGGGATTCTTTAGTTTTACATCGTTTTCAGAACACACATTTTTATTGGAACAGGAATATTCACAACACACTCCTGCACCCTCCATGGGCAATGCATGGCACATGTACACATACATGCATGCAAACACTCATATACATAAGATAAAAATATGAATCTTAAACAAACCCACAAAACTGATCCATCTGCCTGAAATGCATCTGCTCGCCTCTTGACATGTCAATATAATATAGTATAACCTGCAGACCACATTACATCTGCCCCAAGAAGCCCTTTCTTTGAGCCTTTGTAACCCCTCAAATCCTGGTACTTAACGTATGGTACTTATTATTATAATAAGTGTCCCTATGAGATCCCTGAGGTCTGAAACCACTGTTCACTTTCTGGGCCTCCTTAACATCTAGCACACACCAAGTGCTTAAGATATTAAATTGCTACAAAACATTGTTTCCTTGCTGTCTGTTTTGAAAAGATATAATCTCATTATGCAGCCCTGACTGACCTAGAACTCTGTAGAGTAAGCCAACCATGAATTTATAGAGATCCACCTACGCCTGCCTCCCCAGTGCTGGGATTAACGATGTGTACCACCATACCTAGCATTTTTGCTGTGGGAGCTCCTTCTGCTCCTTCAGCCAATTGCCTTTAAGATACCAATCCACTTGGGCGTGGCCTCTTATACTATAAATGCAGCTGTAAAGCCTGAGCTTACTCTCTTGCTTCCAGCTCTCACTTCCAGCTGCTAGACTCTGTTCCTGTTCCCGATTCGTGCAGAAGATTGTGATCTAGGACAGTAATCTGTATGTCTCCCCTAAATAAATAACCCTTTATTATACATAAAAAAAGGAAGATTGAATGGGATGATAGGTAATTTAGTGTGAATTTATTCGCACTAATAATAATAATAACAAAGTGAATATTTGTGAGCTATTATTTATGGACAATTTACACTGATTATATTTATATTATATTAATATATAGTTATGTTGATACAAGTTCAAATTATATTTGTTATTTCTATTTACAATATTTGTGTACCTATGCAAATTATTTTGTCATATTGTATGCATACATGTTTCTACCTCTATTTAAGACATTTTGTATATTGATACAATTTTAGGATATAGCTATCATATTGTATTATATATTTCTACCTCTGATTAAGATGTTTATACATTATTTTCATTTTGATGTCATTGTCCTCCTTTACTGAACAGTTGTTTAAAGATTGCTTAATATTATGATATGAAGTCTTAAAGTTATATAAGTATTAAGTTTTATAGGTCAATAGTCATTCATGTTTGTTATACTTTTAGTCAGACTAATTAGGTTCTTTCGATACATAGAGATTGTATTCTGCATAGGTAGGTAACCTTCAACCACTTCAAAGATCTGTAGAACATGGCACTTAAATAATTTAGGATCCTGTTGACATGACACACGATTGCTCCTGACAGCACTGATCTTTTCCCAAGAGAGTGTTGATCACCAAAGACACCCAACTTGGAGTTTGTCTTCTTCTTGGCACAACTGGCCTTTGGGCAAGAAACTGCCCATGACTCGACCACTGACAAAGTGCACAATGTCTAGACTGGACAAGCAGGATACAAGAAAACAAACTGTCAAATCTTGCCTGTAATGCCTGTGTTACTCTCTAAGGTACAGTTCACACTACTGTACTGTTTGCAAGCCAAGCAGGGGCCTGGAGATTAAAGGAACACACAAGAGACATGAATCATTCATGAGGAGAGAATGCCAAATGCTGCTTATTCAAGCTTAGAAAAAACTTTATCTATCTAGCTGCTGCACAATGGAAATCTCCCCAGGCAGGTGGGAAATGACCAGGCTCAAAAGTAAACAAAACCCCTAAGCTAGCCACCAGTGGGAGCAGAGGAAGCACAGGAATAAACAGCATATTTAGCTGGAAACTGCAACAAGATGTTTGGCCAGAAACTGTCCTCAAAATGAACCCCAGGAGGAAGGGTAGTCCTGTGGGCCCTACAGGTCCCCCCTTTATTTTAAGTTACATGACTAGGCCTGTCTTAGGTGGTATTGGACGTCAGGCAACATTCCTTACCCATCATGGGAAAGCGTCCGGGTCAAACAAATTTCCTGTTTTAGGTTGGGGCAGCCCCCCAAAGAACTTTCCCATCATTGGCTCACTAGTCACCCTTCACCATGTTCAACCAGATTTGTGCTAAAGGATCCTCCAGGGTAATACCTAAGAGGACTTGCCGAATGGAGACATTGACCTGAGCTTGCCTCTGGCTCTGGCACCATGAAAACATGAAGATGATGCTCAAGCACATATAAGCACTCCAAAGGAGGCTGTGCCTGCTCAGTCCTTAATGAGTCTGCCCGTAAATTGGAGCCCTTTAAGTAAGGTTTCACACTGGTGGGAGGAACCCTGGTATTGTTAACTAGAATAATCTCATGAGACAATTTGAAAATTGTGCACTCCAGGGTCTGTGAATAGCAGCATTAAGCATTATCAATGTATCTGTTAAGTTGTAACCTTAGCAGTGGTCATGAACCAAAACCAATTGCAAATTTAACTGCAGTATTCATTTTGAGTGGCCAAGGCATTTGCAATTTGCCCTGACAAGGTATCCATTGTGCTAGCAGAAGCAACTAACTGACCAGTGTCAACCCCAGCAGCCATAGCCACTGTGGCAGCCACAGCGGCTATATGGCACCAATATGACTGCTGTAAAGCCAAAATCTCTTCGTGCTTGATGCAGGATGAGTTGATCATCATGGGATGTGTTGACAGATAGAGGAACAATCCTTAGCACCCAGACCACCACAGCCAGCTCCTCAGGACCCCAACAACTCTTCAGTTGACAAACCTGCTCCAGAAATATTAGCAGGATGATCAGCAACAACAGAAAACAAAGGGGGGGGGGGCAGTGACACAAACTCCTGCCTGGAAAGTACAATTCTTTGTTGAAAGGGACTTAAGAGTACAGGGGGGGGGCAGTAATGCACTCGGCCCAAAGTATGGAAAGACTCCAATCATAACTCAAGGGCCCAGGACAGCAGTGCCTGACTGGAGCTGGGTGAATTCTGCTCCTGTGATAATACCTGTGATAATATTTTGGGTGGTATCCAAAGGCACAGCGGGTTTACCTGTGCTAAAATTGGTAGATAAGAAATAGGGCCACACAGGGCTGTCCAATCCCACCAGCATCAGAGACAGAGGATTCTTTACCAGTGTCCATTTGATTTCTTGGCTTTGTCCTGTCTTCAGGCTTCTGGGCAGGAAAATCCCAGCATGCACCAGGTGCTCTGGTACCCATATTGTACTGTCAGCATCCTGTGGGAAAACACAAACAGCCCCTCCTCCCCACACCAGTATGGGATCTGGACCACACCAAGTGCCACCTGTTAGATTCTTCCACCTGACATGAGGCATCCCAGAAGAAACTGGCTGTCAGTGCTGGTCAGCAGCGGTACGAGATTGAGCATCAACAGTTAAAAAATTTTAAATGTATTAAATAAAAGATAAATGGTCTCTGGGGATGGAACCATATTCCCTCCTTTCTTGTTTTATGCAAATAGGCTTTGAGCATAAGATGTGCACCCTCCACTATAGCCAGTCCTTGAGGATTATTAGGTACTCTCGTTTTATGAGAAATAGAGAACTCAGAGAAAAATTTAGCAAAGTCAATGCTGGTGTAGGCTGGCCCATTGCCAGCTTTTACAGTTTTTGGAACTCATATGTGGGTGAAAGCCTGGAGACAGTGACTTTTAACATCTTGTAATTTTTCTCCTGTATGGGCTGAAGCAAGAATAAGATGAGAATATGTATCCACAGTTACGTGAACATATTACATATGCCCAAAAGAAGGAACATGGGTAATATCCATTTGTCATAAATGATCAGGAACAAGCCCACGAGGATTAACTCCCAAATGGGGAAACAGCTAAAAGATCTGTACACAGAGCATTTTTAACAATATCAGTGGCCTGCTCTCAAGATATTTTAAAATGAAATCTTAAAGATCCGGCATTGAGGAGAAAATGATTATGAGCTTTTTCTGCAGCTTCTTAAAATTTTTGACTAATTGCACAAATTTGGTGAGTAAGCTGATCAGCCAATGTACTCCCCTCGCTCAAGGGACCAGGGAGGTCAGTATGAGCCTGCAAATGCCCTACATAAATGGGAACAGATCGGGCCCAAAGCAATGTTTGAATAGCCAATAACTGCATCTGGACTCGAGATACAGGAGCAGTATAAGCTGCAGTTTCCAAAGGTGTGAGAATTTTGCTTACATATTGACTGTCAGTAAAAAGGTTAAATGGAATATCAGCACATTTCTCTAGGGCCATTTGTACAAGTATCAATTCAGTCACCAGAGCAGATTTAGCATCAACAAGCTGAATATCAGAATCAGGAGGGGAGGCCACCAAGCCCATCTGATGGAAAACCCATTAGTAAACACGTTCTGAGCCCTTGCCAGAGGTTGCAAAGAAATAACTTTTGGGAAGCATACCAGATGGTTTTTGAAAAAGGTGACCAACTTATCAAAAGGAAAATGATTATCAGACTTTCAGGGATTAGTGCATAAGAACAAGGCCCAGTCTTTAGCAATACCACATTTGGGCCTATACACAAAAGAAAACTGTCTTAATGAACTCTTGGGCTGTCTTAGTTTTAATACCGGTGCCTTGTTTCTCTAAAAGAACTATGAATTGGCCCATCAATCGGCCCGTCAATATTGGAACAGAATTACTAGCACCCATTTTCTTTTTTTTTTAAACATTTATTTATTTATTATGTATACAATACTCTGTGTGCATGCCTGAAGGCCAGAAGAGGGCGCCAGACCTCTTTACAGATGGTTGTGAGCCACCATGTGGTTGCTGGGAATTGAACTCAGGACCTTTGGAAGAGCAGGCAATGCTCTTAACCTCTGAGCCATCTCTCCAGCTCCCACTAGCACCCATTTTCAATTCACCCTCACCATCAATTTCTTACCTGCTGACGAGCCTTCAGAGGGCGATCACTCAGGGGTTCCCCTACTTCCCAATCTCGCTGATAGGCCTTTAACTGTAACACCTGCATTACTCTCTATGGTACAGTTCATGCTACTGTACCATTTGTGAGCTGGGCAAGGGCCTGGAGATTAAAGGAACACACAAGAGACATGGGTCATTTGTGAGGAGAGAATGCTGAAAGCTGCATATTCAAGCTTAGAACAAACCTTATATACCTAGCTGCTGTGCAATGGGAATCCCCCCCCCCCAGGCAGGTGGGAAATGACCAGGCTCAAGAGTAAACAAAACCCCTAAGCTAACCACCAGTGAGGGCAGAGGGAGCACAGGAACAAACAGCATGTTTAGCTGGGAACTGCAAAAAGATGTTTGGCCAGAAACTGTCCTCAAAATGAACCCTGGGAGGAGCAGTAGCTCTGTGGGCCCTACACTTGCCAAGACAGGGTAAGATGGTTTTGAAAAATTTCCTGCCACTGAAAATGGTCTGTCAGTTACTCTAGACCTTAGCCAAAGTTGGTTGCTTCAATGTTGCAAATGAGACTTTGGGTGATTGCTTAGGCAGCCAGTTGTCTCTGTCATCTACCACACATTTTGGAAGCTGCTTGATTGCACTTCCTACCTACTCAAGTATCTCCCTTCTCAGGACTTCAATGGAATTGAAGATTAGATAGTCATAGTTACCATCCTCTTATGATCTAGCCAAGCCATTTCCAATACAAGACTTAGACACCTTAGGATAGAATGTTTATTAAAACATTTAGCATATGTTCCTTGCTTAATATTGTTTATTCTGGTTGTAATTCTAGTCTTATACTTGATATATGTTCCTAGTGTATATAGTTTTATATTCGGTTTGGAACTCTTATTTAAACAAAAGGGGGAGGTGCTGTGGAGCTCCTTCCACTCCTTCAGCCAATAGCCTTTAAGATACCAGCCCACTTGAGCGTGGTCTTTTATACTATAAATGCAGCTGTCAAGCCTGTGCCTGCTCTCTTGCTTCCGGCTCTCACTTCCAGTTGTTAGACTCTGTTCCTGTTCCCCATTCATGCAGAGGATTATGATCTAGGACAGTGATCTGTAAGTCTCCCCTAAATAAATAACCCTTTATTATACATAATTCTGAACTAGGGTGGGATTATTTTGTATCTTCCACCATCAATTTTTACTTCTTAAAAGTCTAGTAGTCACCTCCTCATGAGATACAGGAAAGCTTCTAGTTCCTGTAAAGCATCATTTACAGAAGGAGAGAGGAGTATAGAGAGCCCCTGCCCCCTCCCTGCCAGGTTTTATACAGGGACTCAAAGAGAGATGATGTCACAAGGCACTGTGTAGCTCTGACTTTTTACAGTTGGCTTAAACTATACCTTGTAGGTATTATCTTGAAGGAAATGAGATGTGTTTCATTCTGCTACCACTGGCTACCATAACCCTTTGCTCCTTTGCCTGTGCCGTGAAGTTGGCTCTCCCTCTGTGAGGTGTCTTCCCGCATCAATATCACAGCTCAGCTCCAAGGGAAAGCCAACAAGAAGGGAAAGGAGGCAGATGTTTCTGGTTTAGCATGACTACTTCTCGCCTGCTGCCTCCAAAGTCAAGGGCTTTGGAAAGCTTCCCGATTTGTGGTACCCTGAAATAACGACTTTGGAGATAGCCCGTATTAGCTATCTGTTTGAAAAGGTTTGGGAGGGACTGGTTACTTAGTGTAAGTGTGCAATTATTTTTGCAGTCAGCTGAGACATCACCACATGGGTCTTGGCTTCTGAGGTTTTAGTTCATCACATGACAGAGCATATGGCAGCTCATATCAGAACAAAGCAGCCAGGAAGCAGAGAGAGAAGAATCCTGTCATGCCAAGTGGCTGGGTCTCTCTTTTCTCCCTTCCATAGCATCTGGTCCCTCAGCCTGTGAGATGCCACCACCCACAGGTGTTGTCTCTCTGAGTTAAATTCCCTCACAGACACCCCGGAGTTGCGCTTCTCCCATCTCTTAGGCCGTGTCTCAATCTAATCCAAGTGACAATCAAAAGTTACGTCATGGCAGTGAAAGTGTGTGAGCGTGTCAGACCTGGGAGGACCTCAGAGGCAGGTCAGTTGGTGGAGAAGAAAACAGCTAGTCGCAAAAGGGTCTTGAGAGACTCTTCCAGAGAATGCGATGCTGGGTGATTGACTTGGTATCTCGATTGAGAGAGCAAAGCCTGTGGAAGCAGCAATGGGCAGGAGATGTGGGCCTGGCCTAGGAAAGGGGAGGAAGCCTCTCATCTGGTGGAGATCTCTATAGCACCTAGGCCTTCGACAGGAAGCAGGCGCAGCACTAAGTCTGAGCCAGACTGAAGACGTAGAGCGAAGGAAAGGGAAGAATGAGAAATTGCTCCCGGGCTCCCCAGCTCCTCCCCCGCCCACCCTGCCAGCTCCCCAGCTCCTGGGCTGCCCAGCTCCCAGGTCCAGGTGTCAGGCTGTGTGACAGGATGGCAGGGAGGCGGGCACCAATAGTGATCAATCAAACTTAACTCCACACTTGCACCCCTCCTTCCTTTCATCACGTGATCACTGACCTCCAGAGAAAGATACAAAAAGGATATTCCTATCAAACAAACCAAGTCACTCAGGGAGAACCTATAAGGCCCAGAATGGAGGGAGAGTCTACAAGCCCTTTTTTTTTTTTTTTTAATCATACAAGATATTAGGTTTCAGTTTGTCATTTTCCAACAAAATATGCTCGGGTTGATCTCCCCCCCCCTTCCCAGCTTTCCCAGCCCATGCCCCTCCCCTCCCTGCACTCCATACCTCTTTCCCCCATCTCAGAGCTGCCTTTCTGCTTTTATGATCTGCACACACGCTCATGCCTATTTATAGTCATACAATATTACAAATACTAAAAGTTAGGATAGACACGAGAGAGAACACGTGTGTTTTGTTCTGGGTTTGGGTCTCCTGGCTTCACATAATACTGTACGGAGCACCCATTTTCCCGAAATCTTCATGGCTTTCTGTTTTCATTACAGCTGAATAAGATCCCATGTGTAAACGCACCACACTTCCATCATCCATGTATATGTTGACACCTAGGCTGATCCCATTTCCCGGCTAGCCTGAATAGAGCAGCAGAGAACACGGATCGGCCGGGGCCTCTGCGGTAGGACGCAGATCCTTTGATAAACCCAGTTCTTTTAGCTTTCGAGAAGACAGATCTTTCTGACTCCATTTCCTTCCGCCAGATGTAAATAAAATAAGCCCCCCCCCGAAAAGGACTGATATGATTTGCACACACTGTAGCCCCAGTATTGGACACTATGGGGAGGAAATTGGGTTTTGCTGTTCTCTATCAAACTATAAATAAATCCATTTTCCTTTATCAATGTCTATCCTCTAAGTTATTTCTAAATGCGGGAAACCCATACAGTGTGCATCTATGTGCCGGTTACAAGTCGACAGGACGCCATGGGGAATTCTGCATTAAGAGCTGCAGACTGGGGAAGGCAGAGAGCGGGACGGGGTTCAGTCTGGATAGCCCACGAGAAAGAGTCACGAGGTGCGCGTTACTCATTAAAGCTACACATCAATTCATCCTAAAGGCCAGGCTCTTAAAACAATCGCTTACTTCCTCGCTGTTTCTGTAGGTCTGGAGTTGGACACAACTTACAGCATCCTGCTTCTGACTCCCACCAGGCTGTAGCTGAGCGGTCCGTCCACTGCGCCCTTCTCTGAAGGGTCAGCCAGATGAGTCCACTCCGAGTTCCTTCTGTTCTTATCCCCTAGTCTCCTTGGACTGTGGCCACTCTCTCTCTCCCTTGAAGGTCTCCTCAGAGGAACGCTGCTCACTGGCTTGCACAGCCAGCTTTCTTTCACAGTCCCAGGGCACACCTGCCCAGGGACGGCATGGCCCACGGTGCCCTGCTACATGAATTAACACGAAAAAGTCCCCACACGTGCCCAGAGGCCAGTCTGATGTGGGCAGTTCCTCAGTGGAGATTCCCTCTTGCCAGGTATGTCTAGGTCTGTGCCAAATTGGAAAAAAAAAAAAAAAAAAAGGAAGGAAGGAAGGAAGGAAGGAAGGAAGGAAGGAAGGAAGGAAGGAAGGAAGGAAAGATGAGTGACTCCTAACCAGCACACGCACAAAGGCTTTCTGAGTTGCAGAGGCCCAACAGTCTTGAAGAAATGAACAGTTTAGGGAGCTCAGACAAATCCACACTGAAAAGCCGGTGAGACCTGAGTCAGCCAGCACAGCCTGGGAAGCTAGGCTGGTGGCGGTGGAGGCGGATCTCTGTTTGTTTACTCTTGTCAGCGGGTAGCTCTGGCCTTAAAGTCCCCGAGCCTTTGAGGTGGCTCTGGTTTGTCTCCCTGCTGTGTTACTGAGCCAGAGGCAGCAAACTCCGGGACTCTAGAAGGCTTTGTCAAGTCCTGCGCCGCCTTGATGGGGTCCAGTGCTTCCTCGATGGGGTTCAGGCAAGCTTCCCCTCCGGCCGTGGAAGCCGCTGAAGCACAGGGAACCGCGGACTGCCAGAGAATCAAGCCTGCGTTTGAAGTGCACGAAGTCTTCTCTCTGCCTTCTGCTCGCAGAGGCAAATGCCATCGAGGAGGGCGTGGTACATTTTCTCTATAGCCAAGGGATCCCTTCCCTTGGGGGCGCGGGGGTGGGGGGTGTTGAACGTACTCAGAAAATCATCTCTGGGATAAATCATTCCAAATCAAACCAGATGAGACGCAACAAAATCATGGCAGCTTTTAAAGCTTCTCCCCAGAGGTCAACCACATCAGAAGCCGCAGCTCAGATTCCGCTCACAGATCTACTGGAAGGGAAGTTGCCTGCCGGAGCTTCCTGCCTTTCTCTGGCTGCCCCGCACAACAGGCACGAAGGGGCAAATTTCTTCCGGGGATAGGGTGATCTGCTGTATGGGTGAAGGGACGTCGTGGAGACCAGGAAGGAAGGAGGGAGGAGCAAGCTGGAGGCACAGCAGGGGAACAGTCCCCAGCACCTCTCCATGTGCTGTGGGCGAGGGACAGTAAGAGGAACTGGCAAGGGGACAGCAGCTCACTTATCAGCTCTCTCTTAATAATTAGGTGCCCGCGGAGCAACCACTTGATTCTACGCGGCTGACAGCGGTAGTCAGTGAGACTCGGTTACCTTTTCTGACATTTCAGGGAAGCGGAAGAAAATTCAAAGTGGCGAAGCTGGGAGCAGACACTAGGGAAAACTCTTTCCCCCTTTCTCTTAATACCCAGGGGCCTGGTCGGAAGTTTATATAAAATGATCCGGAAATAAATCAAAGGGCAGACTTTTAGGCCCCACCACAGGCCCAGAGAATTAAATTCAGCTTTGCAACAAGGTCCTCCAGATGAGACACAGGCTCCTTAAGGAGCACGGCCATAATTTGTTCTTAGAAATTTATCCCTAGATTCCAGCATAGTGACTTCCCAGAACTCAGCATGAACTAGGGAGCGGGGTGGGGGAGAGCCTGCTGTGGGTAGGAGAGGAAAGGAAAGGGCTACATAGTGAGATCCTGTCTTAGAAAAAAAAAATGCTTTTCTATTATATGCAATTTATAAGATTCTTTTAAATTTTTATTAGAAAGAGAAAAACAGATAAAACCATGATCTGGAATCATCACTTACGAAGGAAGGCAAAGACAGAAACCAAATGTATCCAACTATGCGCTTGGAATGCCTACTTTGTGACCCTAACAGCGCCAGGCTGGGTCGACGAAGCCTTGCAGGACACAGTTCATTCTGGGGCGCTGGAACGGTATTTAGCCACTTCTTTTAAAATGTTCTTTTGAAAAAAAGAGTTTACTTTCTTCCCCAGCGCCATTTCCTGCCTTCCAGGTGGCTCAATTATCTTGATTGTCTCCAGGCAGACACTTGGTGCAGGCTGCTAGGCTGGGGACATTTTCCCTTGCTAAACAAACCGGCAAACACGGTCGGGCTGGGGTGCAGTGGAACACGGTGACAACTCGCTACTCCAGCTCTCTCCCCTCCCCCAGGCAGACTCCATCCATCTCCACCTCCTTAGGGGACCCTGGGCCTTTATCTCTTGACCACCTGTGGGAGTTACGTGTCAGTCTTTCTTCCTAAAGAAGAAAAGATGGCTCGGAAGCCAGATAAGCAGTGAACTCCAGAGAGGAGCCTTCCAGAGCCTAGGTCTGAGGTTTATGGCTGTTCTCAAGGATTGTTAAAGTAAGTGTGTGTGTGTTTAAATTATATATACTTATATATTAAATTATATATACATATATCTTTTTTACATTATAAACATACATACATAGCTTAGATTATCCAAATAGTCAAATCACTCAGGCACCTTAAGTAAGGCAGGTAGCTAGCTGCCTTTTAAAAAACGGCCTGAAAACACAGTCCTTTATGGGCAGAACAGCCTTTCTCACACCCCAGATACAGAGCAGCCTGTTCAGCCCTTGCTCCCCTCTCTTGGAGGGAACCCCATTGCTCTGCTCAGGGAACCAGGGCTGCTGAAAATGTCAGCCCTGCTGAACAGGCCTGTGCTGATTTGTCTTCTGGTTTTCCTCCTCAACCACTCAGCCTGCCCCACCTGCTCCAGAACCCCAGCCTACCTGTTCATTCTCTCCCGCCTCTCGCTTCAGATGATTCAACAACTAAACACCTGCACCGTGTTTGGTGTGGATTGTCCTCATAGTCAGGACCTTTGTCTGAGCTCATTTCACAGAGGGAAGAAACTCATCTTACAAGTAGGCATCCGTGATGTCCACATTATAATAAAGTTGTGGGGGCCAGCCATGATAAGCTGTCACCCAAAGCTAGGTCACCCAAAGGAAGTTCTTTACTTCCAACCATTATCACCTGCCAGAGTAGGATTTTGGCTATCGATAAATCTAATAAGAGGCCTGAGTCACAGTTAGTTTACCCTGAAGCAATACCTGGGAGCAGACAGAACCCCCGGGCGATGGTGGTGCACGCCTTTAATCCCAGCACTCGGGAGGCAGAGGCAGGCGGATCTCTGTGAGTTTGAGACCAGCTTGGTCTACAGAGCTAGTTCCAGGACAGGCTCCAAAGCCACAGAGAAACCCTGTCTCGAAAAACCAGAAAATAAAAAAAATAAATAAATAAATAAATAAATAAATAAATAAATAAATAAATAAATAAATAAAAAGAAAGAAAGAACCACAAACTAAGATTACCTAGTACCACCCAAGAACAGACCATCCAAAGGAAATGCCTAACATTCCAACTGCTGTAGATAGGATCACCTGCCAGCACACACTCATCAGGACACCCCTAGACAAATGTCAGCCAATCAGGGGTTCTAAACTCAAAAAGTCCCTCACCCCCACCTTTACTATTATAAAACCCAAATCTAACTGAGCTCGGGGCTCTCCATTTATTCCAATACTTTGGACAGGTGGAGAGACTGAGAAAACTTGATTAAAATAAAGGCTCTTTGCTTTTACAGACGGGACTCAGTCTCCTTGTTGACTTTAGCGGGGACTTTGCGGATTTGGGCATAACAAAGTGACTTTTATATGGTACTGAAAGACCCTCATTTTCAAGGGTGGTGGGAGAGTCCCCCAAACTCAATAATTCAGGCCAACAGATGCAATCAGCAAGAGGTGTCTATTGATTACACAGGTGCCTGTGGGTGCAACAGTAGCTTACGCCAACTGCACACCCCGGGCAAATTCAAACAGCCATATTTATAGGGAAAAATGATTACATAAGAGGGTAGTATAGCACAAGCATTTCATTGGCTCTCAAATTGGTGGGCTTAGCTCATCCTGGGAATGGCCCCATGTCTATTCTCGAATTTCCCCGAAAAACCATAAAGACAGATAAAACACCGGGCAGTAAGTTGACAATTTAGATAGGATGTCTTGGGGGTTGGAGTATTCCATCTCCTTAGCCTAGTCAGTGAGTCTGCAACCCATAGATATCCAGTTTTAGCATCAGCTGAGCCTGGGGGCCCAGCTAAATTTTCAGCAGAGTTTAACATAGTATGTGGGCACGGGGGTCTTTCAAGTATGGGGGGTCTTTCATTACATAATATTTAACATTTACATGTTAATGACATATTAATTACAATTTAATAAAAAGTTAACACATTAACATTTTAACACACGTAACATTATAGTTCCGTGGCAGTAAGAACCATCTTCCCCATTGGTCCTCCTCTCCTCCACACCTGTGCACCTGCTTGTGGTTGGCACTCACTTCCTAATATGCTGAGAGGTATCTCCGTGCTTCTGCCAGCTCTTGTCTCCTCAGTGAGGTTGGTGAAGCCTTTGCACCTGAGCTCAGGCCTTGTTAATCCCACTGGTCGAGAATAAGACCACTACCACTATTTAAATCCCACTTTGAAGCAAGCTCTAATTAACTACTGGCCAGGTTGAAGGACTCCCTAGCCAGGTCCATCTCTGGCCCTGAGTCATGGTTTCCAGCACCTTAAGTATTTCCCATCAGGTCCAGTCAGGGACAAGCAAACGTCCTGATGTACTCTAGCCTACATCTAACGGGCAAGCACACATCCTGACTATTTCCTGCCTGTGAACCTGCCGCCCACGTGTGATCAAGAGGTCAAACTTATTTATTATTTATTTGTTTGTTTGTTTGTTTTCGAGACAGGGTTTCTCTGTGGCTTTGGAGCAAAGTTTTTTAGGGAGGTGGAAACACAGGACTTGTTAGCTCCCGTAAGCAAGAGCCTCCAGCATTTTAGGAACTCTCTGTCCTTGGATCAGAGTTCCGTGGCTTGCTCAGGCTGAGTAACTAAAAGTTCAAATGTGACTTTGGCTCTCACAGCCTCCTAATGGGTGCTGTCTGTCCACCTGTGTCAACCCCCAAAGAACCGGTAGCAGCCCTCCCCATCTGTTGTGAGGATCTTCTCCTGGGGAGGTTACTAGGCAACACCTGCCCACCCTCCTCACAATGACAAACCAAAGGTTGATTCCACCAAAGCTTACTTTAGGGGACCAGTGAGCTTATTCAACTTCCTTACAGTGCAATGGGTGATGGGTAGGAGTGTGGGTGGCCTCAAAGCCCACCCTGGAAGTTCTGCTCCCAGTGTAGACGACAAGCCCCATGGATGTGTACGGGGTCCACTTCCTTCTGGCCACAGCTTACACATTCTAGCTCCTCCCTGAGACCCCAAGACTGTGCACGATTAGGGCAGTACTGCATAGAACTGGTTGGGAGGGATGGCTGAATACACCTGTGACCCTCGCCACCCCCTCCTTTTACGAGGGAAGGTCAATAGTCAACAAGACCCAGCTGTGATGAACTTTTGTAAGCAGCCCAACTGAACTCCTAAAGATGTCTGCAGTATGGTTAAGAGGATATTCCTTGTTAAGTCTCAAGCCTGGGACAAATGGTCAACTAAGGTGCTTGTTAACATATCAAAGCAGACACTGGACACCAGGTTCTCCCAGAGTCCTTCAGTCCTTACCTGTTACACTCTAACAGGGTACATACCTGTAACAGTTACAGAGTGTGGTTGGTATACCCCACACCCTACCCTGAACTCTCCAATCCAAGGACTGGGCTGTCTTTCCCCTGAGGCTCTTCCTACATAATCAAGCCATGTTGGATATGCCGACCTTTTTACATTTTTTTTTTTTAACCTTTCACCCTCCTGGCCTCTTGGCCTTCTGATGTCCTGGCTCTCTCCCCTCCCCACTCTCCTCACATGACCCTGCTTGGGTCATGTTCATTGTGGACTTTCCCAGACATCTCCACCTCTGGCTGTGCTCTCCCTCAAAGTTACAATAAATCTCCTCCTCCACGATACCTAGAAACCGTCAGGTCCTCCTCTTTTATTTCTTTTTTATTTTCCCCATTCAGTCCTGTGCTACAGTAACAAAGTTGATGAACCTATGTATTTGCGATCATCCAAGTTTCCAGAAATGTATCTAAAAACACCCTTGAAGGGTGAGATCTGCCTTTCATGGTGTGTTGTGATTTCTTCCATCATCTAAAGATATGTTTGACGTCTGAGCTTCTGGATGTGAATGTGTGTCCCCCAAATTCATGCCTTAAATCTCAACCCACAGTGGTCGTGGAAGTGACGACTTTGGGACATGAGCTATTAGCAATGTCCTTATAAAAGATACCTCAAACAATGCCTTTACCTCCAGCACCATGCAAGGAGATAGTGTATGAGCCAGAAAGTGGGCCCCCACCACACAACAAATCCATATCGTCACCTGAAGCTCAGACTTCCCAGCCTCCAGACCTGAAAGAGAAGGAAGTCTATTGTGTTACGGCCACTCAATTTGTCGAGCCGCCCAAAGGACTAAGACCCTACTAGATTAGAGCTGGCCATGTAGTGCAGCCACAGAGAATGTGTCTAATGTTGCCTGGTTCTTCACAGGGATATTAATAACAGTAATAATAATAATAATATAAGAAAATGAGTTGGGGGGCTGGAGAGATGGCTCAGTGGTTAAGAGCACT